ACACGACGTGACAACCCAGAAGACAAAAATCTTAATACTCACCGCTGTGAAAACCTCAAATCTTATGTGTGAAAAAATGTTTGTCTTCAAAGTACCACCACAAACTGGTTGATGAAACCGTGTGCCAATTGATAATACCGAATAAGAAAAGATCGATTTTAAAATTCAAACATTTCTCCACATGAATTTTTATTTATTGCAGGTAATATATCAACTACAGATATTATTTAACTTCTAATTATGTGAGAGTATCATTACGGACTATACTGTGAACTGAACAAAAGTGGAGAAAAACCGCCAATCGCAAGGTAATAGTGCCTTAAGGAACTCAGAAAATCATCAGAAAAACTGTCAAAATGGCCATACTGTCTTCAGGCCAAACTGAAACGGGTACGTCTTACGCGTGAGGCCTGTCTCTTGATCTAGCCTGTTAAGTTATTAAGATAGACGAAAGGAATAGTAACAGTTACAAACAAACGAAATAAAAACTTAGAACATTAAAATTGATAACATTTACAGTTTGACTGCATGTCTGAGAATGAGCGACATGCCAGTGCTTTGATTTGGTGCGAAGTTAAAAATACCCCTATCTTGTTTGAAGATGAAATATTTACATTCCGCATGTTGTGACAGTTAAAATTAACATGTGTTGGTGTCTGTCGGTGGAGGGGATGGGAGCAAACGCCATGCTTTTGCAGGCTTCAGAGACAAGAATAAAGTACTGCACTCTTTGTAAGACCAGACCTTATTTATTGCTGTAATGCCAAAAGGCGTGCAGGATTTGATGGATATATCATATGGAAACGATGACGTGTTAAATTCACACTTAAGCCGCCGAGCAGAAAAAATCGAGAGGCTATTTATTATAAAGAAAATTAGCATCTCTTTAAAAGTACAGTAGTCTGTAGTGTTATTCTGAATCGTCTGTTACATCAACAAGAAAGTCACATTCGCGTGTTTAACGAAATTACAAATTTTCGGAGGTAGACAGATTTTATAATTTGGCAGTCAAATAAAATATCGTTCTTTTATCACGAATCAACACTGACAATGTGATATGCTCTACCATACTTTTATAGTGACATCATTTCGCTTACTTTAAAACTGAAATTACTAAGACGCTATTGTCTCCTTTCTTCTTTTCTTACGCTGTTAATATTAATGACACATGTAGGCATATTTGTTCATGCGTCGCTGCATTCAGTTCCACTTCATTCTATCCCATGCTACAGAGTATTTGAAAAGCAAACATCAAACTCAGTTAGTCAAGAAACTTACCACCTTCCATGGATACCGATAGTTCACTGGCATATACATAAGGCCTGACAACGACCCCTATCCTAATCCATCTGAATGAAACCTATAGTCTATAATTCTATAAGATGTATTTTAATATTATCCTCCCATCTACACTTCGGGCTTACGAGTAGTCTCTTCCTTTCATGTTTTCCAAGAAATAATTTGTGATCATTTTTCATCTCCCCATGCATGATATTGTATTCCGTGATACGATCACCCTTTTAATATTTGGTGAGAAGTATAAATATTATGCATTTTTCTACAACCTTCCGTCACTTCGTTCGCAAAAAACTTCTATCGAGAAATATAGTGTAGCAATAACATTATCGGATTTTATTCACGAAGGACACTGTTTGAATCTCGATCAGTTTTCCTGTTTTCCTGTTCACTAACAATCCAACCGTGCACGTTCACTGCTAATAAGCCAAAATAGCTTACTTCCGCTTTCTTCTACGTAAAAAAGGGTGTTTTACTGCAATTGTAATTCTATTTGGCGCTGTGTAGATTCTGCAGTTGAGAAAGTGTCCTTAATTTAATGCAATTTACATATAAAATAAATGTGCGATCGTTTAAATTTTTTTAAAAAAATTTCGTCTGCTCCGGATCATAATCAGAGTCAATTAAAGTAAAATTTAAGCGTACGGCTACAAGAATGAGGAGAATTTTTAATTATAAAGTGCTAGCTTTACGTTCGCCTATGAGCAAACGCACATATAAATGGGGTTACGTAGAAAAAAAGACACAGATATAAAATGTTGATGAAAACGTAATTATGGTGCGTAACCAGTGTGTTATTTCTTGAAAACATATTTCATTCAGTAAGAAGTGTGATCAATTGGTGGGTGCAGACTACACGTGTTATTTGCATAATATTTGCATTGTATTAATTAATTATGTGTAATTATGACATAGGTTTAGTATTAAGGCTGGCGTACTTCGTATTGAGAAGAACACGCCGATAAGATTATTTCTGCACTGTGAAATAAAGTTACATCCGTGCACATTTGTATGGCCTGACAGCTTGGCGGAACTAATGTAGAACAACACACAAAACAGTTTATCATAAGAAGCGAGGCATTTCCCTGCATACTGTTCTGATTGATTTTTTCTATCAGTCTGTTATCTCGGTGGTTATCACTGTTCAGGCTTCAAGATGTGGGTGAACTGTTAAGGTGGGAGGAACTGTGTACGCCTAGGTACAATGAAGATCTCTGTGCTTCAGAACGGATGCTGGAGGAATCAGAAAACACAGCAAGGTATAGTTCACAGTACTAAATCTAAGTGTAAATTCAACGTGTACGTTCTTCTTTACAGGTGGGTTAGCCTATTCAGAATTTGTCTTTAGGGTATAATGTTAGAGGAGAGCATCGTGCGAAATTGATTTTACATCTCCGTCTAAAATTTCTAGAAATTCAGCCGAAAATCAAAACTAGTTGTAACTTACATTAACCTCTCTAAGATATTGTAGGTGCGTTATATTGTGATTTATTTAAATAGTATTAAAAATATATTAAAATTGGCCGTCAATCACAATATAAGATAATTAAAAGATTAAAATATCATTTTTCGTTCCTTATCGAGTACTCGATTTACATGTGGAACATTTACGACATGTTTCGGCTATCAATAGTGCCATCATCAGGTGTTATGTTATAAACTTTTTAACAGAATTACTGAATTTTACTGATTTTTTAATGATTTTTAGTTT